TCGGTTTCCTCACCAGCTTCCACCTCGAGGTGCTTCAGATCCTCAAAGATGATCTGACACATGCGCACCATGGTCGCCTCCGCCGTGCGCCGGAGCACCTCCGAAAACCGTGACCGAGAGCAAATCGTCAAGCCCCTGCCCATCATGTCGCATACGCTGTCGTCTGTGAGAATATCGCCGCCCGGTCCCGTCAACATGTCCTCCATTAGGTTCAAAATTAGGAGCAACACCACCTCTTCTTGCGGTGAATCGCTAATGTCGAACTGACAATGCGTAATTGCGGCGGAGAGTGAGTGCATGGCCAGCGCGAACCGCGGCGACCCGGGGGCGATGAAGCCATATGTTAAGAACTTTTGTATCGCACGCAGCGCAAGGATGGTGATCGGGGCGGCGGTGCCCTTGGCCTGGATGATCTGGAGGAACGGTTCAAGCAAGACGACCGAGTCGAACTGGCGAATATCTAAGCGGAATGTCAGTTAGCTGAGGCAAGTGGCAAGCCCCAATGCGAAACATACCCTTCACGCCCGCCAGCTTATGCCGTAGCCTGCCGAAACTCGAGATCAGCGGGTTGTCCTGCATGCTCTTGCCCTTCTTCCCCCGCAAGCCCCATCGATTGGCGGCTGCATCGGCGGCGCCATCGCCTTGAACGTCGGTGGTGGGCGTCCTGGGTTGGCGGCGCGCCGCTGGCCCCTCGGGGGGCACGAGCTGGATGATATTGGGGCTGCCTCCAAGAATGGCCGACACGAACGAGTTGGAGGAGCGGGAGGACTTTTGAATAGCCGAGGTAATTGCTATCGACTCGGATATGACGAGGGACACAGGGTCGACGGCGATAGACACGGGGCGGCTCCGGTATTGCATGCGCGACGAGGTGGAGAGGCCCGGGCTGTCTTGTCGCGGGAGTACGAGCGGCGTGCCGGGCGCCGAAGAGAGCGCCGAGTCCATGGTTGTCACTACGAGCTGGTCATCTCGGCTCATCCTGCAGCGGCCGTGTTCGCGGTACGAGGGCGCCGCTCGGTGGTGTCGAGGAAGTCGTGGGTATGCCGAAAAGCAGAGGGGTGGCAGGCAGCGTGGCGCTACAAAGCTGTGAACCGTAACGTTGAACCAGACAAATGTCCTTCTGGCGCGCAGCTCGGCTTATCGCTAGATCGCAATCGATAGGCGGACGAAGTTCCCGATTTACCTAATCCTGGTCAGGCTGGGCAATGCTGAGGGTTAGGGTTAATAGTGACTGCTCCCCCCTTTTTTGCTGCTGTCCAACACTTCCTCTTCCCCTTACAAGCCACAACACCGCTGCAAACTACCACATACGACCATACCCACTGGAAAATTCGGGATCCCGTCTGCTCTCCCATAGACAAGCCAGTGAGGGCCAGACTAGTAGTTGGGTCGGCTGACGACCAGCGAATCCCTGGTGTTGTATGTTTTTTTTTTTGCGGATTCTTTTTTGTCGATATTTTGGGTTTGGCTGGGATTAGGGGCTCTAGGTTTGTTCGTTCAACAAACTCGCTCGACACCTTTTTTCTCTCGCCGAAGTCAATTATGGGAACGACAAGACTGCTGACAGAATTTCCGAACTTGTCCAAGTGATAGTCTCTCGTCACTAATGGGCGAATGCCCAGCTGCGTGTACGTGGGAAGAGAATAACATCTGTATGAACTCAATGATTGTGATGGGTGAATCATTAAGGTCCCTCAAGACGACCGAGTACTGCCGATTGGAGCTGAGCAATTTCCTCGCATCTTGCTAGTCGCCTCGCCTGGTCATCACCACCACCGTTGGCCGTCTAGCATACATTGTCTGGCACTTGGTGGTTCGGGACTCCATGAAGAATCGAGCTCCCTTTGCCTGCGCTCCAGATTCCATACCCAGCAATTCTCCCTTGTCCATCTTTCTCCCTTGTCCATCTTTCTCCCTTGTCCGTCCCCCCAAAATCTTTGCGTGTACGACTCTTGCCGGTTGCTTCTCAGTGGCAGACTTTCTTCCCTTTCTCCTCGGGCAACGTCATTTCGCTCCAGAATCGGCGCATGGACGTCGACTGCTGTGATTCGCTGTGCCCCAATGGCAAGTTTATTATTTGTTGCTCAAGGCTTCGTCGCTATTCTCCTAATCTTGTTTCCCCTGAAATGAGCGAATGGACGCCAAGCGCGGTCGACGTTTACGGCCCAGATGTAATTATTATGCGGCGGCCAAAACTCGTGATTGTCTAATCATTGACGAGAAATCGGGAGAACGATATCATCGTCGTCACGTCCTCTGGGAGGTTATCATAGGATGTTCGTGGTTGGTTAGGTTGACGAGCTGCCTGTTACGCTTGGCTTCCGTCTATTGCCCCAACGGACTTCCTAGTCTCTGTCGGCCCAGAAAATACCGTGACGAAGCCGTTCGCCATCATCCATTGGCACACGCTTCAGACATCTAACACAGCCTGCAAATGGGCCCGTCGAGTACTTGAACTTGATGAAGCCGTTTTCGACCCACCACTTATCGAGGTATGCCTTTCCAGCGTGCTCATACGAAATTCCTTGATGGCTTTCGTCGAAGCCCAAGCCGACGTATTCGTTTTGTTTCGCCTGGAATATTTCCCTGTCTACGAGTATCGTCCCGTTTTTGGTCATCTACCTCGCATTTGCGGCAGACATTGCCAACCAGCCGCAATTGGTCATATTGAGTTGGAGATCAGACAATGCCTTCAATCCGGTGAAGATGAGATCTTTCATCTCCATGAGCTCCTCCGCTTCCGCAATCAACGACGACGCCTCCGCTGCGGTAGACATCGCCTCCGTTCTGGCAGACCACGTCTCCATCCCGACACGCACCGCCTCCAGTCTGGTCAAAAAGTCATCTCTGACTGCCGTGATTTTCTCAAATTCCGCCTTCAACCCCTGGGTTGCGTCACGGAGGTAGTTCTCGGCAATCTCTACCGCAGTAGACACTGCCTGCTGGTACATGTTTGTCGAGTCATCCATGATGCCTTGTTTGACAGGACTCTTTTGCTTGTTGAATAAGCGAATGGCCTTGCCCTTGGGATTGTTTTGCTGTTCCTTGCTTATGTCCGCATTGGGGATCTTTCTTGCCTCGTCCCTCGCCTATTGAAGCAGGGGGGGTGTTGTTTTCAGCAACGCGAATATCTTGGTGTGCACTGAGCCGCCGAGGTGTGATTTGTTGCTTCTTAAATCTCTTCAGAGGCCGTTGCCGTCTTCTGAAGCCTTGATTCAGTGCTCGTGCTCCTCTCCCGGGTGGCGCTCTGGTCTGCGCACTCTTTGAGGATGGTATCGAACTCGGCTTCTTCGTATGCAATTGAAGTCGTCTTGCTAGCCAGATGCTAACACCTATAGATGCAATGATTAAATGGTGCGGCGCTTCAGAGGCGTGCTTACTTTTGAAATGGGTTGCAAGGAAGGCTGATGTTCGTGGAAGGCGATTCTTGGGGAGACGTTTGTGAGGCAGGCAAGTCCAGAGGCGATGATTGGATTTTTAAATCTGGAAGGCGCGCCGTTTGAGCAGCTGAGAACGTTCCTCAAGCTCAGCTGAGGATAGGTAGCAACTTCGATGTCCATCTTGGAAATCTCTGCTACTTGGGTATTCAGGGTTGGGCGCCTCTTCGGTAATCTCCATCTAATGCCTTTTTTTTTGTCAGATTTTACTCCATGGTTCTCAACAACGAGTGATAACGGCGGCAAGTGCACTTACGAGGCGGAAGACCCCTGCTCCGCGGCGGACAGCATCTCTCACCGTTTGCCGTCGTCTCAACTATCCACATCTAATCGGAGCTCCCCTTCGTCAAAACAACGATATTTTACGTACGACGGCGTTCTACGGCACATACCAAGACCTCAGAAAAATTACATCAGGCGTTGTGTCTTGCGAAAAGGTGGTAGTTCTCTTGAAAGTCATGATGAAAACGTCGAAAATATGCTAAAGATACCTTGAAAAAAAATACAGGAAAAAACAAGGTAGGCCAAAGCAGATCCATGAGTGGAAAGGAACGAAGCCAAGGATATTGCCATGTGTTACTAACGGAATTGAAACAGGCCAGGAAGACTTTAGCCCGATCCGTTGCCGTCTTCAGTGTAGATCACCCATTTCCGCGAGGGCTTTCTCGAGATTTAATTCCCTGCTGGACTCATTTAGTGGACGGTGAGGTCTGTCGGAGGCACACCCAGCGCAAGAGGAGAGCTAATGCCTGGTGTAGGTGCGGATAGGTCGGGCCCTGGTCGGGGTGCCGGGGCATTGAGGATGGGTTCGGGGGGGTTCAGGCAACAAAAAGGGGGAAGGGGGGGGGGGTGGGCTTCCCAAATGACGAGGCGTTAGCAACGTCCACCCACGCCTCTCTGGAGATATCTGAGACAGTTATTGGATTATCCAGAGTCTTGGATTGCACCAAAAGCCCCTCCATAAAAGTTTTGAGACTTGAAGCCTCGATGCAACGGCTGTCCCCCAACCAATTATCGCGTCACTTACACAGCTGTTGGGCACTTTGCCAAGACTATCGTCACCAAGAACACAACACAAAGAACCTTCGTTCAGTACTGACGTGCCACCCTGCTTTGGGTCAACTCCTCACAGACTTATCTCCCGAAACTGTTTTCAGGAGGTAGGAGGTCGATGAAAATCGAACTAAATTACAACGCGCAGTGCAAGACCAAGCAACTGTCTTCAACGTACTGCAGAGTTCCCATGTCCATCTGGGAAAGTTGCAAATACATCCTAGAGTCTGGAACTCGGCGCGGGTGGAGCGAAATCTCGGGTACGCATTCCGATATTCAACTCGCCAGCGTGCAACCACCGCGACACTCTTAATTAGAGCAAATGTCCCGTATTGCCTGGTGTCGTTCTCAGAGTGCGTAGCAATGTCGCTCAACCAGTGTGATCGATGTGGTGTGCGAAATGAGTCGCGGGAGAAACTCCGAAAAACCCCTTTTCATCACGTCTCCATCAATTCTGGTGATACCTTCTTAGTTCCCGATATCGTAAAAAACAAATCAACCAATAAAACTGGCACCATGGCAGAGTGGTTATTGCGTTAGATTTAAGAAAGTTGAACAGATCTTCTTAAAATCTCTAATCTCGAGAGAGGCGTGGGTTCGAACCCCACTGGTGTCATAACTTTTGCAGATCAGTTCTTCTTTTGAGTGTCAGATGACTGGAAACGTTTGGAGAACGTTGGGGGATGCCTGGGTTTGGGAAGGTCTGTAACGGCGGCTTCTTTTTGTTCTTGTGCGTGGTTGCAGCGCTTTGGCGAAAGCCGCTGACTCAGCTTATAATGTTAACCATAACTCAGAACCTGCAGAACGCGCCTTGAAGTGCAGAACATGTCACTAAGATCTCACCCTCGAGGACTCCGATCAGGCCGATCTCACACGACATTGCCCCGTAAGCTGTATAACGGCAAACAGTTGCACAACAAGCTCATTGCCAAGCTACAAGGCCTTGCCATGCCCCACAAGTAAAAAGCGCCGCCTCAGATCTGCCCAAACTCCATGCCTAGTGCTAAAGCAGATCTTGCCCATCCCTATCGACAACATGAATACATCGCTGAACCATGTAATGCATGGATATTCTACATGGCTAATCCAAAAAGAGAGCTATCATCAAGACTTGCCGCTCATGCCTGCGGCGGGACCAACGGACTCTTGAGCCTTGTCGGGCTGCCCGCTCTGCTTCGTCGCCCCGTCGCCTGAAGATGCGGCACTAGCCTTTCACGGCTCTCAGTCCGGACGACCAGACCACTCCGATCGAGTGCCGAGAATCCGAAGGGCACTGATAGGGGGTCGAAGGCGTTCACTTTCGGTGTAGCCAGGCCTGAAGCCCTCGCTCCGCTGCCACTCCCACTTGCTCCCACGCCATATCGAGACCCGTCGCTTGAATCCGAGTAATCGTCGTCATCGACATCGCCGAGCTCAAACTGGTTCGCCTCGCCTTCTTCCATCACACGCTCATAAGGGGTGGAGCGTCCGAAGAGCTTGTTCGTCAGGCCTGAGAACCCTCTTGCGCTCTTTCTCGGGCTGCCAGGACGACGTGACCTCCGCATGAAAGAGTTCACCTTTCCGTAGAAGCGCATGCGACGATCCTTCTTGCGGAAGAAGTAGCCGACGAAGATGAGGAGCACGACAAAAGCGAAGAAGCCCGTGCCCGGTGTCCCCTTGGCCTTGCCCATATAGTCTTCCCATTCGTCTATCGTCTGGTTGCCAGTCGCACCAGGGGCTCGCCATGTAGAGCCGGCGAACTGGAAGTCGTGAGGTATGGTGGCAGGCCCATTGCTGCCGAACCCAACGGGGTAGGTATCGTCCCCGCTCTTAGGGGGGACTTGACCAGCCGCGTACAGAACCATCTTTCCGAGGGTCCAGCTCACTTCGACCTTGTCGATCTTGTCGACTGCTTGGAATGGGTCGAGGAAGCCCTTGTCTTTGTCGTGTTCGAGAGCGCCGTGCGAGACGTTGAACCCTGGCATCTTGTCGATTCCAATGCGGGGAATACCAACACCCTCGTGAAGCACGTTAATGATCCAAGAGGCCTTGAAGCAAGCCTCCTGTGCATTCCGGAGATCGTTCTTTTCGCGACTGTCGATGCTGGATGCGATCGCCGACCAGTCGCGGCTGCAATAGTCTTTTACCCTCTTCAGATATGTCGTAAAATCGTAGGCCTCGTTATCCTTGCCCCCAAATACGCCATGGGTGGTGTGCCAGTATTCCGAAACGCCGACAAAATGGTTGACGTCAAAATCGATGGCGGGAACGTGTTGGCCGTTGATCAGGCACGGGGAGTCTGGGCATGGCTTGTCTTTCCCGAGAAGCGGTTGCGTAAGTTCTAAGCATTCTTGGAAAGCTCCTGTTCCAACCAGGGTCATCTCGTTGGGCTTCTTCTCTGTGACCACAGTGCCGTCCAACGTGGTTCTCAGCGACTTTGGCAAACATGGATCCGGAAGCTCTTTGGAGTGTGTCTCTACGTATACCTCCTGAAGCGCTTCCACGAATGCCTCCCGCGCCCGATTTACACCGAATCCGAGCCACGATGCAGTGAATAACCTGTACTCGGCCGGCGCGCCGTCAAGAGTCCGCAGTCGCAAGAGTTTGAGGTCATTGGCGTGCTTTTCGGCTTCCGTCGCATTCGGCGCAAAAGCTATTTGGGCAGACGCACCACCCATATCGAGGAATCCGTATGTATGGTGCCCCTTTCCGTGCTTGTGAGCGTCAGGCCGATCGAAGCCACCAAGGAGATAATTTGCCGCAATCCACCCGTATAACCCTTCTGTCTCGCCCGGAATGACCTGAATATGCAATCCGCAGTCGGGCAACGAGAATTTTGTGTTTTGTTGTAGGTACGAGCAGATCTCCCGGGTGAGACCGGTCTGCTGGACCTTGGGAAGAAGGCGCATGCCCGCGGTCGCCATCAAAAAGATCGGCGTGTCTTGGATCTTATCCTCGGGGATATATTTGAGCGCATGTTGAACCAGGTCATTCAGGTGTTCCGGCCCGACATCCTTCGGTTTCTCGCCGAATGTCGATACCCCGGGTCGGATCTTCTTCGTCCATTTCTTCTCTGTCACCAGCTTCGGTAGGCTGCGAAGTTCCTCGGCCGATGCCTTCTTCCTGGCCTTCTCAGGGTCTTTCCATTGGTATATGTGCAGTCGTGTCCCCGACGAGCCGGCGTCCAGAATGACGCCCCATCGCGCTACCGACCGTCAGCTTCGCGAACGATGCGCCTTTGTCGCCCCCACTTACACTTCTTCCCCATTATGACAGACGTTCAATCATACAATCGCGATTGTAGTTCAATCCCTGGTCAATTGTTCCAGCTGTGTCGGAGATGCTTGTGTCTCGAGACTGTGAGATAAGACCAGCTATCGCCGCGTGGGTCGAATGCGCAGCGCCCCTCCTCGACAAATGACGGATGCGGCGGATGGAGTCCGGATCGATGCTGGAGAATGTGACGACTAGAAACGAAGAGGAATATTAGATTAGAAGGTTGTATGCGCAAAACAGAAACTGGGTTTGGCAATGAGAGTAGGTCTAGGGACGAAAAGCGCACAGCGTAAGCAGTAACGAGGGAAAGAGGCTCAGTCCGAGAGGGCTGAGTAGAGCTGATGAGGACATCACCCGTTTCTAGATGTTTGCAGAAGAGCAGCAGGCGAACGACGACACATAACCAGCCGATAACGTCAGGGGGGTTACGCGCGATAAGCTAGCGTGTTCTTCCGGCGACCCTTTTTTTTCGAGACCGCAATCTAGCCCCTCCATATGCTTGGACCAACCGTTGCATTGAACCTGGCTTGCCGAAGACGAGTGTCCACGGCAATTAAAATGATGCCTGTCCTCATTTCCTGGTTTTTACAAGTGTTTCGCCTGTCTTGAAACGGCGATGCGATCTTGCCGGTAACAAACTGAGTCGCCGTTTTTGGTCCTGGAATCGAGATGCCAATTATTTCTACAAAATCCGGGCACATGCACGAGGGATTGGCAGGTCTCAAACGTGCGGAACGGAGACGACGCGTAAGCAAGGATCGACCAGGGCGCCAATCCACCCCACCATGTACCAACTTTCAAGCGGTTCCCGTTCCCCATCTGCCGTTTGTCTGCAAAATAGAAGAAACATGGCGGCAAAAGTCCAAGAATCGGGCCCAAGACGGGACTGTTGCTCAGAGAACCGAGAGAACCTTCACTGAAAATACGAACTCGTACGACCTTGGCTGCAGGTGGGGTCAGCTACCACAGCGCTTCCAACAGGAACATCGCATGCATTGAAGTTGGTACCTTGGAGAGCACTCTATTTACATACTCTGTAATCTAGAGGTTTCCCACATATCTGACACCATGCAGACGTAATTACCATGCGAGGTTCGCTCGCTCGGTTTTTGTCTGACTGGTCCTTCAACTCGCTGTGGCTATCAATGCCCTAGCGGTGCTGGTGAAACTTGTTCGCTGTGCTTGGACACTATCGTTGGTGGCCAAGACACCCGAGCCCGAAGCTACCCACTGGTAACAATCCTGGAATAGGTCGTAGCTCAACTGCAGTTCCGAATGCAGGGTGATCGGGAATAGAACTAACTGTAGCTGCTCTTCATCCTACGGTCTCGCTAATGCTCTGGACAAGTACTCTGTTGGCGAATTTGGACGCTTGGATTCCTTGCTGAACTAGCTCCATGTACGTGTTCATGTTATCGTCTGGCATATCTCCCTTGAACCACAGGTTGGTGATTTCGTCTCTTGTGGGGAGGTAGGCTACGCAGCAAGCAGCCTCGATTTTGACGTGCTCTGAGGGAACCGGGTCGATGACAATCTTCGCCACCCCATTGTTAGCTTCCTCTCTGACCAGGGCGGCTACACCTCCTGCAACGGTGTCCACGCAGTCGATCCCGGCGTCTGCGAGAGCGGCTGATGCCACGGTGATGCAACCACTAAGCGCGTTCATCATGTCCCAAGACTCATCTCCCTGTTCCTTTGACGTCTCCCGATCCTGGTCTCCCTCGATGATAGAAACGATGATATCCACACCACTTTTGGGCCATCGGTCGGCGATGATGGCACCTCGAAGAGCCGTCTCAAGATGGGAGCCCAGATCTCGCTCGGTCGGGTCACGGAGATAACCGCGCCGCTGCTTCGTAGCGAATGGGGCAAATTTGACATGAGTCGTGAGGATGATGTGAGGAGCAAACGGGCTCGATCTCGGGAGAGATCTTGGGCCATGAACCGTACAGCTCAGCTTCAGGCCTGAAACCCCAGGCTTTCCGGGCACCTCAACTTCCAAGTAGGCAGACCCGGATGCTGATGGTGTGACCCCGGTTTTGAGAACTGAAGAAATAGGTCAGCGCTGGTGGAAAATTTGGGATTTGTCTGCCTCACATGTGTGTCGAACAGCATTGGCAGGCCGAGATCTGGTGGGCTTCTGTGAGGCCGTTTTCTTGTCGACGCCGTCATCGAATATGGGAGGGATTGTTGCTCCGGCAGGGCCGTTGATTCGTCTTCTGTCGGCCATGGTGCTGCTGCGACTTGGTGGTTTCTGGGGAGTCTTGACGACTCAGTTGAGATCTCTGTGAGAGGGCTCCGAGGAAATGTTTCTGTAGTGGCCGGGAAGGGTTTTACAGTGTTTCCCAAGATGAGAAGTGA